ATAATCAACAAAATGTACAAGATACAAGATATAATAGAACAAAACAAAAGTCTCCTCAATTTGAAAAAATGAACTCATAATGATTAGAACCTCTATATCTCCAGTGGAGTCGCCATTCTTTTCACATCCCTACTTTATTCAAATAGGGAAAAATATCGTGGTGACTCCAAAAGTAAACAATTAATTCAATTATAAAAGAATTTCAAGAAAGAAAAAGAATTTTAAAGGAGTCGCCATCTAATTTTAGGAAAAAATAGGAAATCATTTAAGTGATCTACGAAACCATTAGATTCTAGGTAAGGAGTTCAATTTATTTCGAAGGGAAGGTGTTAGGTATTCTTCGAAATCCACAACTGTGGGTCTCGACTGAATTTATATTTTCAAATTGAGGAGATAAAAACTAATATGCGAGTATAATAAACGAGCAATATAGACAAATGATAAAATAAAACAATAATATAAGAAACGACCTTGTGTTTTCCGATCGTCAATAATATACAATAATGAATCAAAAATATTGTTCGCACTTTATTCGAAAAGCTTCAATGGGAAGCAACTCCGGGTACCTGTAAATACACTTAGTAAAAGTGTTAATGATAAATAAATATGAATAAATCAAATAATAACTTAAAAATAAAAATCCATTTTATGAACATAGGTGGCCTTGGAAATCGACGGTAATTTCTTCATCGACCAATTTTAATGTAAAACATATATAAACTTAAACTAAAATTTCCGTCTTTTAAAATGGGGAGGCCTCGAAAACCGATGGAAATTTTTTTCATTGGCCAATTTTAACATACATTCAACAAGTAAAATATGAAACCAAACAATGAAATAAAGAGATTAATGCAACAAAAAACAAATAATATGAAGAAATATAATCTAAAGAAACCAAACACTGTCAATAACAAAGAAAACTACCGGAAACTCGAACGAATCATTAAATATCAACACACAAATAAAAAAAATATCAACAATAAAAGAGGGGAAATGCATAATAATAATAAAATAAAAATAACCATCCAAACGCAATAGTGCACAAAGTAGACGTGCATAATGAACAATTAAATAAATAGAATTAATGACAAGAAAAAGTAATACATAATTAAACTTTGGACACATAAAAATCCAACCAATATATAACAAAACAATAAATGAATATAATAACCAAGAACTATATCATTCCAACCATTAGCAAAAATGAAGAAAAATCACAATAAATAGTAAAAATTCAACGGCCTAAAATAATGACTCCAACAAAATAACAGATAGCAAATCACATCGAGAATGACCCTTTTATTATAAAGTCCTTTCAAGAATTCCAAATTAGCCCCAAAATTAATTAAAGAAAATCACTTATTGACAAATCATCAAACTCACAAATAAAAGTGATCAACAGTAACTAGAAATAATAACAAAAATAGAGCACATCTAATGGAATTCAATCAATACTCACAATTAGTTAGTGGTAAAATAAAAGAAAGAAGGCAACAAATAGTATAGAGATAAAGTTACCGAAGGGAAAGCTCTTTGTTGCAGTTGCGGCCTGGTCGGTGGTTGGAGTGTGTGAGGTCGAGATTCATTTCGCTAGAGTTGTTGTTCGCCAAAGTACGTCTGGTTGTTGCTAGCTTGGGTCAGGGTTTTGGAGTTGTTTGGTGACCGGAACTCGTTGATGGTTACTGGAGCCAAAAGCTCGCTTGAGTTGGAGGAGAAAGGGTTAACAATGATGGTTTTGGGGTTACTCCGGTGAGATTCTAGTTGGTATGGTCAGGGAAAGCGGTGGTTCAATGGTGGTTTCAAGTGATGGGTCTATTGTTGTTGGCGTTTCGCTGGAAATGGAGTGTTGTTGTCTGTTTTCAGGTGGGTTTTAGGTGGTGTTCTGGTGGAAAAAGGAGCCGATGGTTTGGTTTGTTGTTCGTGGGTGGAGCAATATTTTTGTAGAAGTGGTATTGGGTGAAAAATGGGGTATACATACTATTGTGAAGTTGTTTAATGGGGGTAATGGTGGTGAACTGGTCGAGCAACAATTCATTGGAGCGAGAAGCTCCTCGCCGTAAAAAAGGAGAAAAATAATGGGGTTTTCGATGGTGGACTCGCCGGATTCCGGCAAAACTCCGGTCACTTGCGGAAAAGTAATGAACAATAAAGGAATATTTTTTGGAGACTATAAAAATCTGAAAAATTACCCCTAAAATCTTATCCTCCACCCCTTTTATTTTTTACCTAATAATTACTTAAATGGAGAATTGTTATACAATGAGCTCAAATCGTGGGCTCTGGATTGTGGCCCAAAATCATTGGTCAATATGTGTATGCAAATCTTATCTGTATTTAAATGAATTTCTTGACTGTGCAAAATATCCAAATGAATATTAACAAATATAATGAATATTAAAAAATGATAATGAACGTAACCAATGACATGTAAAAAAATGCAATTTAACAAAACTAATGATTTAATCAAAATGAACAAATATTTGAACGTCTTCAACCGGCTCTGACAAAAAAATAATGTAATTAAAATTAACTGATAAAAAATTCTGAAATTTTGACAAATAGAGATAAATATCGATAAACTTATTTAAAATTATAAAAAATGTATTTGGACTATTGAATAAATAGAACTTAAAAGTTACGAATTTTGAAAATATTAGGACAAAATTGGGTGTCAACACACATATATAGGGGCGGTATAATAATATGAAAAATTATTGGTCAAAAGTTAATATAAGGAAAGATGAAAGATAGAAATAATTGATGTAATAACTATGAGGATTCATAATATTATAACTAAATAATATACAAGAGTGTGAATAACGTTTGCAATAATTAGTAATAACTAAGAGAGTCTATAATGTTATAACTAAAGAATTTATGTGCAATAGCTGAATTTGTAATAAATTTTATACTTGCATGAATAAATAGGACTTTTAATTAATGTTACTATTTTTTTAATAGTTATTAGATTTTCATTTAGTATAGGTGCAAAATGAAAATGTTTATTCCATATTAATGAATATAAAATTTATTTTGTAAATGTTAAATTTTAAATGATTCATATCTATTCACATATTTTCACATTTCTCGTGAGTTTTATTTTTTAAGAAAAAAAAAAACTTACAACATTTTAAAATAATATATTTTGAAGTTAGAAGATCTTTTAACTTGATAATACATTCATGACACATATAAGTACCTACCCATATATATATATATATATATATATATATAAATTCTAATAATACAAACTTCAATTGGCGTTATTACAAAAGGGTAATGTTTATATAGTATTAACTATTTTGAAGTAAACTTCCTGACAATCTTAAATCACATAAGTAGCATTGATAAATAAAGTCATTCTTTTGTTTTGAGCATCAAAAAAATAAATCGTGACACAGGAACTGAAATAGATTTAAAGATTACTTCCGTAGAGGAGAGGGGAAGGCTGCTTAGATAGGGCGATAGCCCGGTTTTTATTGTGTATCCTTTCCTGCGCTTGTCTTGTATTGAGGTATACCGAAGAGATTCGTAAAAGTAGGTAACAGAAGGGGAGGGATTGCTGTTTTTATTAGTGAGGACAAGCCGCTTTCATTTTCAACAATCTAATGCCACACCAACCCTTTAAAGAGTAGGCGGTTCGTATCTTTCTATGACCCCCAAGAAGTAGGAGGATAGGCAGAGCAAGAGCTCTTGAAGTCTACCTAGACGTGCAAAAGTATAAGACCCTCATGACAGCATGTAATTAGAGGGTTGATATTTTAGGTTTAATACATAGCTATTTTTTAAAATTTATCAGCAGTATTTTTAAAGGCGGGGCGTTTTATACGGTACGGGGCGAGGCATAAGCCCCGAGACACGGGGCGTAAGTCCCATGGATCTGCGAGGCGTAGTCTCATACATATTCAATTTTATAGTTTTATTACCAATAAAATAAGTAAAAGTAAGTCTTTCAATGATTTTACTAATAATTTTTTATAAATAACAAATAATATATGAAAATTATATTTATTTGAGATAAGTATTAATAATCAATAATGAAGAAAAAAAGTATTATAACTACTATTTGAGAAATATCATTACACCACTAATAAAAAATATGATTTAAAGGAAAAAAAGGTTAAAAAAATTAAAACTGCCCCGGCCTACGGTTTTTACGCCCAAGACTTACATTTTTATGCTCGAGGCTTATGCCTCAAATTTTAGAACTTACGTCTTATAGATCTACGTCTTTAATTTACGTCCCAAAGCATTTTTGGTACGCCCCGTTCCGAGACTCACCCAAAAAGGTTTTTGAAAACACTGTTAATTAGAATATTTTATATATATACTCAAACTAAGCCATATACACAAATGGTTTTCCAAAGTTAAAATTAAAAGTATCTAATTAGAATACTGTATGAGGAGTTGAAATGTTCAATTGGAACATGCCTTAGTTCGACTATCTAAATATATATTTTCAAGTTTAAAAGGCTGACCATGTATTAGGCCAATATTTTATTTTTAAATCAAAGTTGAAACTGGGTAACTCAGAATTCTGTTACACCAAAAGGATATATATAGCATTTATTAAAGATTAATCTCTTTCAAACAGTTACCGATGTGAAGCTTGAACTAAGTTAGACAGAAGTGAGAAACTAAAATAACTGTCATGCTCTACTAAACAAGTCCATAAGACAAGCAAATGAGAAATGGGGTACAACGAAGAAATTAAAAACAATATAGACCGTGGTGATCTTACTGATAGACAAGGCAAAACCTAATAATTGAATACAATATGCACGTATTTTTTCTCTCGACCATTGAGATTGTGTCCAATCTCATCCTGCAAAAGAAGAAATCATCGTTAGAATCTCCACAATATTTCAAAAAATTACCCTACTGCCCCAGCGTTATAAATATATATCCTTTGCTCAATAATTTATGGTGTACTACTTTGCTATTCGTTATTGTTAGTAATAGATTGGCATGAAATTGGCAAAGTTAAAAAGTTATTATATCTACATAAGAGTCTGACAATAATCAGTTCTTATGTGAATAAATTGAAACTCATTAAAAAGAAGCAAACGTACGCCGACAACTCCTCTTCTGGTGTACAAAAATTCTTGACCCAACATTTCATTAAACCATTTGTCTGAATCCATATGGATAATAGCGCATCTTAGAGACCCTGGTACCCTTATATCATCGTTGTTCCAATCGAAGACATAAGACTCTGGTTCTGTTTAAGAAGAAAATATGAGTAAAAGTGCACAAATATGAGTTTTCTTTGAAAAAATTACTAATGAAAGATGGTGTATAGATTGCTCACCTACTGGTTCTGGAATTGATAGATTTCTTCGCAGGCCATGGATACCAGCAATAATTATAGAAGCAAGACCCAGGTGTGGATTTGCAGATCCATCAAAAGTTTTAATTTCAAAATTAGTTACTACACCATTAGCATCTCCAGGAGGGCAACAAGCTCTAACAGGTAACTCTTTGCATTCTACCCCCCAACAAATAAATGATGAATTCCGCGACTTAGACATTAAGCGCTCATAACTGTACATCATATATCAATCTTAAGTCAAAACAATTAAAATATATTAAGATACTTTAATAGGAAACTCTACCACACAAAGATTAGAGATACATATATCATGTTGGGTTCGAAAGAATGACACATCATTCATGAGCCTTATAGATGACAATAAATTAGATGACAAAGAAAATTATTAAAAAAAAACATAATATTATTATATAATTTGGTCAATTGGCCTCATATAAACTAATAAGAAACATAAAAACAGTATAGAGAAATATCTCCCGCTAAATAAACAAATTTTAATGACTATATTATGAATGTTATTGTGTTTTGGTATGAGAAAATGAATCTTCAATTTATAGTGTTCCAAACTTTTGTTCCAAGGAAAGAATAACAAAATATGAAACATATTTATATTTTTTTCTTTTTAAAAAAGTAAAAGTTACTATGATAATGTTTTGACTTTTTTGTAAAGTAAATTTCAAACCCTAATGTTGGACAAAATGATAATCACACAGAGGATAGTGTCCAAACTAAATAGCAAATAGCAATAGGAATAGAGTAATAACGACACCAAACATTAAAATGGGGTAAATATGATACCCAAATAACTAATTCAATAATACTGACGAAAAATTTGTTAGTGTCAGAAGATTACTACTCAAAACTTCTTTTATTTCTTATAACTCACAATAATATTACTTCCACACTATTTTCTCACAAACTAAGGAATAATTTGTGGATTACTCTCTCTATTCTCTGTTGCTTCTCTATTTTGGTGTGTTTTGAACTGATGAGTTGATGACCCTTTTATAGAGTAAAATGATTCAGGATGATATAGGAAGTGATATCAATGACCATAAGAAAATCAAACTTAGGTAGAATATTTCTTCTATCACTTATCTGCAAAGTGATATAATGTTGACAAAGTTGTAATAGTCATGAAGCAAAAATGGACCAATAATTTCATCAATTTATAGTAATTGAAGACTAATGCAATTGTCTTATTTCTGCAAAGAAGACTACATAAATAAATAAATATATCTATATATATATATATACCCTATAAATCTCTCCCTTAATTTTGATTTTTCTTCTTTATTCCAAGCCTTGATCTCAACGTCTGAAAAACTTCAAACTTGAGGGGCTTTGTAAAGATATCCGCAATTTGATCATGAGATTTCACATACTTGAGATCCACCTCTTTCTTGGCAACACATTCTCGGATAAAGTGATACCTTGTGTCTATGTGTTTGCTTCAATCAAGATACATTAGATTCTTGGCAAGTGCTTGCGCAGATTTATTATCAATCCAAATCATTGTGGCTTCAATTTGCGGCAACTTGAGATGCATCAACAATCTCCTCAATTAAATAACATGACATGTACATGATGTCGCTGCCACATATTCAACTTCACAAGTTGAGAGAGTAACAATTGATTGTTTCTTTAAACTCCAAGAAATAACACAATCACCCAATAAAAACACAAAATCAGGTGTGCTTTTTCTATCATCAACATCTCCCGCATAATCATTATCACAATATCCCACAAGATTAAAATCATCAGAAGAAGAATAAAATACCCCAAGGTCTATTGTACCTTTTAGGTAATGAAGAATACTTTTTGCGACCTTCAAGTGAGTTGAGGTAGGAGCTTTCATGAAGCGACTTAATACTCCAACCGCAAAGAGTATATCTAGTATCATACATGTTAAGTACCTTAGACTTCCTACGAGACTTTTGAATAGAGTGGAGTCCACCTTTTCTCCATCATCAAACTTTTGAAGATTTTTTCCACATTCCATTGGGGTGTCCATAGGGTTGCAATCAAATTTATTGAACTTCTTCAAAATCTCCCATGTATAGCTTTCTTGAGATATGAAGAAGTTTTCCTCCATTTGCTTCACTTCTAGGTCCAAGTAATATGACATGAGCCCTATGTCCGTCATCTCAAACTCAAAGGACATAGCTTTCTTGGAAGATTCAAATAAAGATAGGTTGTTACCCGTTAGAACGAGATCATCAACATAAAGACAAACAAGCAGAATATCTCCATTAGTATGAACTTTAATGTAAAGAGCATATTCATGGAAACAACGAGTAAATCCATTGTATTGAAAGTATTTGTCAATGTGACTATTTAAAATTTGTGGAGCTTGCTTTAATCCATATAATGCTTTCTTCAACCTCAACACCTTAACTTCATGACTTTGTACCCCAATGCCCAGTGGTTGCTCAACATAGACTTCTTTTTCAAGATATCCATTCAAGAATACCGATTTGACATCTAGTTGATGAATTTTCCACTTCATTTGCACCGCCAAAGAGATCAATAGATGGATCATCTCCATGCGGGAAACAGGCGCATAGACTTCCTCATAGTCGATGCCATGCCTTTTCTTGTAACCTTTAGACACAAGTCTTTCTTTGTATCTCTCTACCTCTCAGTGGGCATTTTTGTTCATCTTGTATATTCATTTGACTTCAATTGCGTGATGATCCTTGGGAAGAGTCGTTAACTCCCAAGTGTTGTTCTTCTCTATTGACTAGATCCTCTCCTCCGTGGCTTGTCTCCACCTTTTGTCAGTAACAACTTCATCAAAATTTATTGGTTCACTATCAGCAAAGAGACAACACAAAAAATCAAAATTAGTAATTTCTTTTGTGTCATCATAGAGTTCTTAAGTGCTCCTCATCATATGTGGTCTTTCACTTGAACTCTCTTGAGTAGACGGAGATGCAACATTTGCTGGTGAAGGAGGTGGGTTTGCATCCTGTGCAGGTGCCATAGTTTCTTGTTCTTCTACATTTTCAAAATATGGAAGAAAATTATACATTCTTTCTTCCAAAGTCTCCCAATTCCATGATGCTTCTTTATCAAATTCAACATCATGACTCACCACCATCTTGTTGTTGCTTGGATTGTACAATTTGTAGTCTTTTGAACTCACGTCATAGCCAACAAACACATACTTGACACCATGATCATCAAGTTTAGCTCTCCCTTGATGTGGAACATGAGCATATGCTATGCTCCCAAAGATTCTTACGTGCTTGATATTTGACTTTCTTCCGCTCAATGTTTCTTGAGGCGTTTGATCTCATACATTTTTTATTGGAGACCTATTGCTCAAATAAACTGCACAAGAACAACCTCGGCCCAAAATTCTTTTGGTAGTTGTTTAGCTTTCAAAATACATATAGCCTTATTAAGAATTGTTCTATTCTTTCTTTCTACAACTCCATTTTGTTGGGGAGAGTAAGGTATCGTTAGAGGGCGACAAATTTCATGAGATTGACAAAAGTCATTAAATTCTTTTGAAGTGAACTCGGCTCCTCTATCGGTCCTTAATGCTTTTATTTCATCGACACTTTCTTTTTCTACAAGTGCTTTGAAATTTTTGAAGGCAACAAAAACTTCAGATTTTTGCTTCAAGAAGTATACCCGAGTCTTCCTACCGAAACCATCAATAAAGAGAAAGAAGTATTTTATTTTATCAAAAAAGGTGGATCGATTGGACCACACACATCGGTGTGTACAAGTTGAAGTGGCTTACTTGTTCTTGATGTAGTCTCCTTTTGAAAACTCCTCTTTGCATGTTTTCCAAGAAGACAAGCTTCACACAAGTGATTTGGATGGTTGATTGACGGAATCTCATCAACCATGTTCTTGGTCTCCCATTGATTGAGTGCTTCAAAGTTCAAGTGCCCAAATCGAATATGACAACACCATGAGTCATCTTGCACATTAGCCTTCAAATACTTTGCATAGATGGTTTTAAGATTCAAAGGGAACAACCTATTCTTTGTCATATGCACTTTAGCAATTAAGTTGTTACTTGAATCTCTAAGCCAAAGATGCATATTTTTTATATGAATATCATATCCTTTTTCAAGAAGTTAACAAAAACTCAAAATATTACTTTTCAATTTTGACACATAATAAACATTGTTAATGAATTTATGGCCATCATCTTTACAAGATATCATAATCGTACCTATCTCTTCAATTTGGATCTTTGAGGTATTTTCAAAAGAAATATAATCTTTCACCATCTTCTTTATCTCCACAAACTTATCTTTGTGGCTACACATATTACTGCTTGCTCCATTGTCAAGATACCATGAACTGCAATCATTTGTATCTTCTTCTTTGAGTGCTAATAATAACGTTGACTCATCTTCGTCTTTACTGTTGTTAACAAGATTAATTGTTTCTTCAACATTACTACGACATTCTCAAGAGTAATGTCCAATTTTATGACGGTTATAACACTCAATTTTAGATTTTTCATACCTCATTTCGTTTGTACCTTGATAGGCTCCACTCCTCTACCTCCTCGTTGACCACGGCTACGACCTCTACATGACTGGTGACTTTTATCTTTATTGTTGAATTTGTTGGTATAATTTTTTCCTCTTTCACGGCCTCCCCGACCTCCATGGTCTTGCCATTGTCCATTTTCTTTGTAGCTTTTCTCCCCTTCAAATCATTTGAAGGATGCCTTAGTTTTGAGAAGGTGCTCTAGTGGCTCATCTTTTCTCCTTTTCATTTTCTCTTCGTGGGCTAATTTTTTTTTTATCGATGGGCTAGTAAATAACCTTTTGATTGCTCTACTGTTATAGAGTCTAAATCTTTAGACTCTTCAATAGCACACACCACATAATCAAATTTAGGTGTTAAAGAACGAAGGATCTTTTCTACCACACGCACATCTAGTTCCTCCCCGTATCTTCTTAGTTGATTCACGACATTCATCAATCTTGAATAGAAATTCAAAATAGATTCAGATTTTTTCTATTTAAAAAATTCAAAGTCAGCCCTTAGAGTTTGAAGTTTTATTTTCTTTACTTTATCATCTCCTCTGAGAAAATTTTGTAAAATCTCTTAAGCTTCATTTGAGATGGTTGCATCAGCCACCTTCTCAAACATGTCATCATCGAAATATTGATGGATGGGAGTGAGATCTTGTTGATCTTTCTTTCTTATCTTTAACAATACCTCCTTTTCATTT